AAGGATAAACGAACCAGACACAACTGCTGATGATTTACAACTAAATGTGTTTAATTTTTCGTAATTCGATAGAGTTGTACAGAAACCTTTATACTTGCTCTTAAATACAGTCTCAGTAAGCCCATGGTACTACCTGTGCATGTTTGATCTGCACCAAATATGGACGCAACTTCTTAGTTAAAGAGAAATATACCCATTATCATTATCACTACCCTTCCAGGTCATTCAATGGAAGTGGTGAATAAGTTCGTTTACATCGGAAGCTGCCTCAGCGCTAATAGTTTAACGGATGAAGTCTCTTTGCGCGTCCCCAAAGCTCGGGTTGCTTTTGCCAATCTCCGCCATCCTTGGTGTCGAGGCAATCTGAGTCTATTACTGAAGGGTTGAGTTTACAGTGCCCCAGTGAGAGCGGTTCTCCTCTATGGCTGCGAAACTTGGCCTGTTCGCGCAAAGGATGTTGAGGAGCTGTCTGTATTTTATCACCGCTGCCGGAGCATTGCGGGTGTACGATGGCAACATCACACTAGTAATGAGGATGTTTGAAGGAGAATTTTCAGATCAAACAGACTTTGCCGGCCACTGAGCAGACTTCAGTGGCTTGTGTAGGCTCTTCGCATGCCTACTCATTGCTTACCTCGCCATACCCTATTCGCGCGCGCAGAAGTCGGCTGGAAGCGAAAGCAAGGTGGAAAACGTATGATTAGGGTCAGGGGCATGAAGGAGCTAACATCAAAGTTAGCCGTGGTCGGGCGCTCTCCCTTCTCTGGCTGGAGTATGAAAGATTCGGAACACGTATGACCGGAAACACTCGGATATGGCAAGAAACCGTGCGCAATGGCGGACTTGTTGTGACTCCCTATTTCAATGAACATTGTTTTTTACTCTTCCTTCGTTAGTTTATTGTATTTTCCATACGTTGTGACACTACGGCAATTGTACTATTGGCCGTGTTGAATATATATATATATATATATATATATATATATATATATATATATATATATATCAGGAACTCGATGAGACGTTCTGACACACGGCGTCCTCCTTCACCGTCGCAGGTTTGGTCCCAAATAGGCCACATTGCAATCAGTTTCGGGTGGCGTGGCAACATACAAGACTGTAGGTCATTTTGGTCTATCTACCTCGATTCAGCTCATGCACTGGTCTGTGCTAACATTTGCATGCCATTCGAAGAAAATCAGAAGCAGAGGCTTTGTAAGCTTGATTCTTGTAAGTCGGCTCAGCTAGACTATCAATTATCACTGACAAGCACACTAGCCCGCCCACCGATACTGAACAGTGCTGGAAGTTAAAGTTGGGCTTGGAGAATCCGCTGGTGGTTGGGTTGCTACAAGCAACCTCTATTGAGGCTTCGGTTCACTTGAGGTGGACCTCGGCCATTCCGATCCAAAAGACCGTAAGTAAAATAGAAACATTATAGTGTTGCTCATCCCAACACTGGCACCCGAAGACAGCGGTTTCATCCTGGCTGGAACCCAGCCAGCCCAACTCAGGCTATCTCGAACTGATGAGTCCCAACCAGGACGAAACCGCGGTCTTCGGGTGCCAGTGTTGGGATGAGCAACACTATAATGTTTCTATTCTAGTGCTGGAAGTTCTTGCAGCAAACAATGCTGACTTCAGGCCAATCGGTCTGTGGGTTATCACATCACCAGTTGAAGGCTAGGATATCGGCGAGCTCCATGACACTATTCGACTGCCGCCGAAATTTCAGTAAACCCAGACCGGAATGCAGTTCGCCGCATTATCACAGCAGACAACTTAAACGAAGCCTTCGCAGCGATTGGGAAGTTTGGTGATCCCAATGCGCGTTTGAGATGGAAGCGGCCACCCTCACTGGAAACACCCGCAGACTGTTTCAGCTCATTCGGACTACTGGACACGGGTCTGGTATCAGCGAGGTCATCTGTGAAGCGGACAGGTCATAAATCACTAATTTGCAGTGGCATGGACGGATGGGCTGAGCACTTCCAGCCGCAGTTCAATTGTTCCTCGCCATCCACCTTTATACTCAGGACACTCACTCGCATGCCATGGTCAATGTCATTTGAACCGCCAACCCAAGGAGGTTTGTCTTGAGATTAATCACTTGAAGCGATTCAAAGCGGCCGGCTCAGATGAACATTCCCCGGAGTTGTTCAAGTACGGCGATAAATCAGCCAACGTCCCTGTTTCTGAAGATTTGGCAGGAAGAAAGGGTCCCCTCTTGCTGCGGGCAGTCAATCATTGTTCCAAGCTTCAAGAAAGGTTTTCAAAGTTCGTGTGCCAATTACAGGTCATTAGCCTGTTATCAGTTGTCTCCAAGCTAGTAACATCCATCATGCTCCACAGGTGATCCCCACTCGTGAGACACACTACCGGAAGGAGCGGGCTGGTTTTCGCCCCGGTCAAGGATTTGTAGATTAAATGTTCACTCTTCGCCAACTCATGAAGCATCGTCACCTCTACCATAGACCCACCATCGTCACTTTCCTGGATATTCGGGCTGCGTTCGACCCGGTTGATCGACCTACTTTATAAAATCGCTTGCAGAAGAATGGAATTCCGGAAAAGTACGTCGCCATATTTCACGCGTTATACTTCCACATTTCAGGCCAAGTGAGAGCCTATGGCACGCTTTCCCCACTCTTCCCTGTCACCAGTGGCGTGCGAAAAGGATGCCCAATGTCACCGCTTCTATGCAACCTTGCGATCGACGATGCCCCTTTGAGAGCATTAGTGGGCCTGCAGAACTTCGGTATCGAGTTTCTTCCAGGTAATCAAGCGACCGATTTAGACTACGCTGATGATATCGCATTGCTCGGTGACCCCATAGAATGCAACCCATCATTAATCGATTGGCAATTGAAGCGTCTAAGCGTGGTATGTGCAAAGTTCTTTTACAGGACTGGCAGGTAGCCCTACCCCAACTCACTATCGAGGGCACACAGCTCGAACACGTAGACAGTCCTATCTACCTAAGGAGTTGCGTCTCTGTCGACGGCACCATCGGAACAGAGATATCCCTTTGTATCGCTAAAGCCCGGTTAGCGTTTGCCAACTTAACATATTTGAGCGACATCGCGACATTGCACTCTCGCTAAAGGGCAATGTTTACAAAGCCTGTGTACGCGTGACATTACGGTACGGATGCGAATCCTGGCTACTCCGTGTGGAAGACGTGTGTAGCCTTTCGCATTGACAGTAGCTGTTTGCGCAGGATTGACCGCGAGTGTTGGCAACATCGAGTGCGTAATGATGACGTTAGACACCGGGCGTTGGATAAGACAAATGTTCCGTTTCGTGATGTCGTCTGGTTGGGTCAATTGAGATGGTTTAGACACGTACTGCGCAAACTCAACGGGCGAAACCACGCTGCGGCCTGTTTGCACACGCAGGGTTACTTTGGAAAAGGCCGCAAAAAAGTCAAACGTATAACTGGCGACAATGCATGAAATCGATGACATCTTGCCAGACCATCGCTGGCCGCGTACCACTCTAAGGGTGGCGGACCCAAAGATGAAGATTGCGAATGGCTCACAACGCTGGAAGGAATGGCGCAAAACCGGTCGCAGTAGAAGCAGTGCGCACAAGTCTGCCTAATCTCACGCATACACAAACACTAACCCTTAAAAACTGCAAAAATGGGTACAAAATGGCGTGTAAAACGACAAAAAACTGTTGTTCCGTTTTTACATTCATTAACAAAATCTTTTACAGGTTTTATTATTCTCTATTACAAATTCCATGGTTTCGATTGCGTCCATGTCTATTTTATAGACTGTTGGCAATATATATATATATATATATATATATATATATACATATATATATATATATATATCAAATCCCAAAGCGAGAAGGGAAAGTTCCAACCATATAAACACAGTCACTTGTAATCCGTTGACAAATAAGCCTTAGCTAACTACTGAAAGGTCGCCCCCGAGCTCAGTTCAAAAATGCATTTTTACGAAGATGTACAAGTGTGGAACAGGCTACTGGGAGACTCTGATACTACGTTACATGGCACAATTTCGAGGTACCTGAGCACCACCTTTGCATTGAAATTCTTGAACACCACGCACCCCTGATGATGAGCAGTAGGAGCATACATCTGATCGATTCTATTGGCGCACCTTCGAGCATATAATGTAGCCGTTATCACGATCTCCTCCATTATTTCGGCGAGCTATATCGGTTCATTAATAGATCTGGTGTCATTACATCTATCTTATCCATTTGTATACCGATCTACCTCAATCAATTGGCCTACATCTTTTTCTACCCTTTCTACAAGATTCCATATAATGGTGTGCCTCGTTCGTTCGAGAATAGACATTTATTAATTCATTTATATGACATATTCGGGTGATTAGAAACGAATTGCTCTCCAACAATGCTGGATCGTTGGGTGGCAACAAAGACTCGCATAGCGCCCAGCAACTGATGTGGAAACAGGTGCAGTCGAAGTGGATAATGGCATTCGGTTGGTTAAGTTCACCAAGAGCTGTGGTGCATTGGGTTTGTGATATCGAAAATTGGATAGTTGAATTCAATATCTCCTCGGTTTACACAACTCATTTGATATCCAAGAAAAAGCAAATGAATGAAACACAGACTACAGATGGCCAAATGACTGAATCTACATACAGGAATCAGAAAGCAACAAACCAGAAATCAGCTAGCTTGAGCTGAGGCAAATGCAGCAGAGCACGCAAGTATTTGAATCTGCAGTGAAACTGAATTGTCTAGTTACCACAACCTGCGCTGTGAAGTAGCAGGGCATATACTAATGATAATACCAGTTCTGTGTATGATGTATCGTTTCTGATTGTAAAAAATGTCCTATTTGTCGGGTAATATATCTGATCACTTGGTTGGCTTAAACGGAACATTCACAGCATCGCTTTCGTTAAACAAACATAGAGAAGAAAGATGCAAAGCTGACAATCCTTCGTAAATTAGCTGAGTGACATAAGCAAGCGATAAAAGCAACATACCTGTTGCTTAGGGGTGAGAAACACAAGAAACCTCGCCAGTAAGCAACCAAGGACATCCAACTGAGTGATGACTTGACTATGCTTTGTATGATCGTCAGTAAGTTTCGATGAATTGAGATGCATAGCTTCCCGTTGAATCGTGGAGGCGAATAGAATTGCATACTGCCAACAGAGGTCCCCCGTGCCATAACTGGAAAAATGAGAAGGAACAGTTCGATAATCCAGAGATACGAAATGGACGGAGCAGCGGATGAGGATATATCCGGAAGATACATTCCTCAATAATGCCAGTTGTCTAAAAGAGTTGCAGAATGAGCGGTGAACCCAATGCACGAGTAAAAGTAATCAAAGCAAGACAGAACAGGGTGGTGAGTGAATTGTCAGAGAGAGCAGAAAGAATCCGCTCTTGTCTCCTTATGCATTAAAACCAGAATAAATACAAAAAGAGAGTGCAGAGTGAACGTACCGAGCAACAAAGCACCATATGTCGGCAGAAAGCAAGCTAGTCCAAGGGTGATTACTTAGGAGCCCTTTCATAAGCGCCTTCTCCTACAGAAGAACAAGAATAGGGATGGAAAGCATAAAACAACAGATCTTTCAAGGTTGCAAGATTCCATGACTTTGAGCATCGGCGAACAAACAAGTGGCCAATGTATAACGATGTTTGCATGTAGCGCAATGTGGCAACTGCGCAAAGAAGCCATCAGCTGTTCACTTGTGGACAGGTGAAAAAACGTCGTTTTATTGAAAAGGACGGACGTCCATGTTTACCGAATGAGAACGCGGAGAATGGGGAACACAGTTTGTAATTTCAAGATGCTTTGTGTGGCATGGCATCGTGATACTGACTAGAGTAGCGCAACACAGTTTCAAAACTGAAGGAAGTCTACGCAATAGAGTGTTTCAAAAGCAACTACGCACCGACAGTGGGACGAAATGTAACCAAAACATGAATAATCGTTTGGAAGACAAATGCGTCAGCGGAGCAATCGACGGTCTCGCTTGGAGTCCCACATGGGTGGAAAATAATAGGACAACAGAAGCAGATGATCAAAACATGCAAACAGCGCAAAAGTCTACAAAGCTAACTCCTGTGGTAAGCAACGAAACGCAAGAGAGTGCGTGGTCAGTAAAGGATTAAGCGCACTGGACAGTGCCGCAAACGTATTGGATGGGACGGCGCATGTTTCTCTAAGACTTGTTCTATGGTAGATGTCACGGCTTCAAATCACAGTAAACTACGTCATTCGGATCGCTAGACTGAGATATAGAAGCTTAGGATTCAAGCAATATTGAAGCTAAGAAGTAGGCCTTTTCCAGTACGATTATCTAAGAGTCCAGGTAGGAAATGGATTCAACTTTCCAATGGAATGAGTAGACGGGTACTCGCTCGCGGTGACGTTTAACCGCCAGAAAAGTCACTCTATATTAACCTGTATTGCACTCATCCATAAGGAGTAACAGGGGAGTGGAGATACCTTCCGCGGAATTGATGGTAATTGGGCCAGGTTAGAAAGCCGGAAAACCCGATGGGAACGTGTGTGATGACTGCATGGTTTCGTTGGAGGTTGTCATAGATGCAGATAGTCCGTTAACGCTGCAAAATTGCGACCCATAAACAACATTCGCTCAAAACGAGGATGTAACCCATCGGATCAAAGGGGAATGCGGTGGCAAAGGTCGCGACTTGGTTAGTAGCGTCGGCCCATTTTCTGCTGCTAGGCAGAGTAATGCCGTGCAGAGTGCGCCGTTGATTTGCTCCTATTATCCCCTCACAAAGTGTACCACAGTACTCACTCCAACTAGCGTGTGGCATTGTGCATCCGGAGACGCTGATGCGACAATCACTGGTCAAGCCAGGTTGGGCATCGTTCTCAGCAAAAAAGCCGGAGTCATCGTTAGTTTGATTGGATTCCCGTGAGCAGCCGTTCGACGACATCAACTAAGGTCTATTACAAGAAGCTGTTTATTTGTGATTTCCGTTTATGCTCCCATCGGTTGCAATTCTGATGCTGCCGAGGACACATTCTATCACGAACTGAACGCGCCACTACGCAGTGCTACCAGTTCAGATACTATAGTATTTGCAGGGGATATGAACGCACAAGTAGGGCGTCTGAGCTCTTCAGAAGCTCAGCTGGGTGTTAATTGTGGGCTTAACTCCGAACGGACTGACAACGGCGAGCGTCTGCTGCAAATGTGTGCGGAGCACCAGTTGTTTCTTAGTAGCACTGCTTTTAGGCACAGTGGGCGCCGAAGTGCCACTTGGCGTCTTCCTGTAGCTGACCAGCGAAGGGCCTAAATAAATCACAATGCCATAATTTTATCCTGGATTGTCGCTCGTTCTGGAATACTTGCGTCGACTCTGATTATGCCTTGGTACGTTGTCGTTTTTTATGAACGTTACCGAGAGGCGCACCAAGCGTTTCCCCGATTGACAACTGAGAAAATATCCCAGCCAGACAAGCCTACCAGAATGCACTGCATACCGAACTTTCGCTCCATTGTCCTAATTACACTGAGCTTCGGTGGGATAGTATTTCGGCAGTCATGCACGTCGCAGGAGCATCTGCTTGTGGCACTATCAATCGTCACCGCATCAGTCACTGGATACCCGAGAGGTCGGTGAACCAGTTGGAATCCTGAATAAACCTCCCGGCTGGCTCTGAACACAATGTGACCAGACGGGCTACCAGGCGCGAACTAAAGAGGAGCCTACGTGCTGACAAGGAAGCCTGGTGGACCACTCGGGCTAAAGAAATGGAGGAGGCAGGAGCAGTAGACAATTAACGCAAGCTCTTTCAGCTAATCTGCACCAATGGTCCCAGAAAACCAGGCGTCAGTGAGACAATCAGAGACAGCGCGGGTGCGCTGATACACAATAAGGAGCGCCGTATGGTTCGTTGGGCGGAACACTTTCAAGATCAGTTCAGCTGGCCCCCTGCCTCCGGACCTCTTCCTACTCAGGTGATGCAGGATGAGTCACGGACGTTAGTTTAGAGGCTCCATCAAAGACTGAGGTCCGAAACGCGATCACAGCCCTCAACCAATTTCGCGCTGCTGGCCCGGATTCCTTCCCACCTGCAGGAGGTGAAGTCCTCTGCAAAGCAGTGACCTCCCTATTCGAACGTATCTGGAAGGAAGAGAGTGTCCCGGCTAACTGGAGCGAACCGATCAGTGGCCATATCCAAGAAGGGCAGTCACAACAACTGTGCTAACCACAGGGGTATTAGCCTAACACCAGTGGTGACAAAATTACTAGTCTCAATTTTCGTTCCTCGCCTCACTGTGGAACAGGAACCCCGGATTAGGGAAGATTAGACAGGTTTCCGCCCAGGACGTGGCTGTATAGACCATATATTCACTCTGTGGCAAGTGGTAGATTAGCACCACGCATACCGCAGACCGACAATAGTTATGTTTCGGGATTTCAAGAGTGCGTCTGACTCAGTTGATCGATGCATTCTGTTCGGAATAACTGCACGGTAAGGTGTTTCCATGAAATGTGTGAACATTTTACGCGCCCTACACTCGAACAATACCGGCCGCGTCAAGGTCTACGGTGACCTGTCGGATGCGTTTCCGACAACAAGTGGCGTTCGGCAGCGAAGCACAATTTCCCCATTTTCGTTCAATTTTGTCGTGGATTCCATCATGTAGTGTTGCCTTGTAGAGCCTCATGATGCACGCGTGGAGGTGCTGCCTGGTGAAAAATTAGTTGATTTTGATTATGCGGACGATATCATCTTGATGTTTAAGGATGTTGGGGCAGCCAAATCAACCCTGAATAGCTTTTTTAGAGTGTTCCCATTAATTGGCATGCGTTCCTACCCTCAAAGTACAGTGTTGCTTAAGGACCACCAGCCATTCGATGTCCCCTTGACTCTTGACAGCGAGAACTGGAGGTAGATGATCAATCCACTTACTTTGGGAGCTGCATCAGCAACGATGGGCACATGACAACTGAAATCATTTCACGTATTGCAAGATAGAACTGCTTTCTTGAATCTGCGACATTTTTGGCGATAGAAAAAAGTGTTCCTCCGTCTGAAAAGTCGTGTTTACAAGGATACAGTAAGGGCCGTCCGGTTTTATGGGAGTGAAACAGCCATTTCTATCTGAAGATCTGAGGCACCTTCAAGTCGTTGATCATCGTTGTCTGCGAACCATTGCTGGTGTCGGATGGCACCAGCGTGTCCGCAACGATGATGTGCGTAGGCGAGTACTAGGTAGTGATAATCATGCTAGCACCCTAGAACAACAGATAGCACTGAATAAGCTGTGTTGGCTTGGGCACGTACTACCTATGCCTGGTCACCGCTTACCTAGGAGCGCCTTGTTCAGTCTGCCAGGTGTAGGTTGGCGCAAGGCTCCAGGTGGAGAGAAGTTGACTTGGCAGAGGGAAATGAAGTCACTGACTACCAAACTGGGTGCAGCTGGTCCGTCTCGCCTTCCGGACTGGAGTCCACATGACTCGCCTTGCGTTTGGCTCGAGACTTTACAGGACATGGCTCGCACCCGACACCAGTGGCGCGTCTGCAGCCGCTCCTAATTGGATTGCCTGTTTAAAGTGTGTTTGGTGCTGAGTTATCTGCGGGATAATGGCTGATTATGACGCAGGGCAATGAAAGTCGCACGGAAACTGTCTTGCCAATGCCACCTTATCTTTAGACGATAGCCAGGTGTTTGTGATGGCATGTCGTTGGAACAAAGTGTAGGCGCCTTGACCCTGAATGTTTGCTTAAGGCAATAAGGTTTTCCGGTAAGTCTCCCTTCTCTCCCTCTTATTATTCTTCTTCATTCCGTAGGTCGTTATGGTTGTATGGCAGCGAAGCATCAGTTCAAATGGCTGATGTACTGATGTTGGTGATGATGATGACGATGGAGCAAGTACTTAGTGTGAAGGCGTAGTATGTAGAGTGAAATAGTGTCATTCATTGCATACTGATTGAACTTGATGCACGATGAGAGCACAACAGTGATGTTGTAGTATCTGAGACAAATATGAGATGGGGATGAGCCATAAGAGGAAATCCCTACACAGCGCTTTCCTGCAGATGTGGCGGCGGACAAATTCGATAGTTTGATTTCACCATGCGGGGTAACCGAGCCAAACATGTCCAAGTGGTGGAAGACAAAACGGGTTCGGTGGTACAGCCGAAGTAAACCAAACCAAGCAAGTGTCATTCTAATCAGCTGCATGTAAGAAAGTGAACCAATTGTGCTAATGTGTTGAGTCAAAGAAACGTTTGCGGTATTCATGTCAATGATAATGACCGAACAACGGTAATACATTCACCAACAAAGCGGGTAGCCGATTGAGCAACGTAGATAGATGCTTCAGCTGCTAAGCCACTACTGCTGTTCTCGCTGCGAGCGCTACTCTCACTCGCAGTGAATCGTAACAATATGAGTAATTGAGGTACTCGAACTTTATGTGGAATTCGTTGAAGCGGATGGCCACAATACTGTAGTCCAGGAAACGTTTGGAGAAATTCTGGGAGATTAGACCGCATTTTGCCCAAGGTGGTTATTTTTTGAATTGAGTTTTTAGAAAAAGGACCCGAATGGTAGGGTGAAGCTTTGAAGGACTTACCAGAAAAAAGAAGCAATTGGCAGGAAGGCCACAGATGGACGCACAGATCTGCTGTAATGATGTGGCGTAGAACTCATCGACATATGAACGCACCAAGTCCTCTGATTCTGCGAAAAAAAGAAAGTGATTGTTGCATACGAATTGTGCTACTCATGCCTAACTAAAAAACATCGAAGACAAACTTATTTTTTCGACGAAGTTAACATGATGTTTATTTCTGGGCGGGCAACCAGAAACCTAATGGAGGAAAATGAAGTAGCTGAGCACTTGACTGGGTATTGTTAGGATGTCGCATCTTCTACGTTGGAATTTGTACAATGGACCCTGTGCTGCTCAGCTAAGGAGCTTGTAGCATACTGCTCACAGTGAGCACTAGTATTATCTATCGTTTCCTAGCCGAAATGTCTATTTAATGCGTGTACAGTGTTCGGTTATTTATGATGCAGAATTGATTGCGATGCGGGGTGGTGAGAAGCACAGGAAGACGACTTTGCCGATTGCGCTTTATTTAAGCACCAATGGTAGCCAATTGTGATTTAGGTGGTTCCCAAATGAGAGTGTTCCTGAATGATTAGGGATTTTAGCTCCAACGCTGGGTCCACACAAACCATCTTTGGATTCCTCATGATAAGAGTTATCTATGTTGATCTCCCATTGCAAATTAGTGGAGCGTCGACAGAAACTAACGAAGCGCTGCTGTCGAAGATGATGTGTACTATGCGGCATGACGTACACTTGAAAGTATTCCCTCTTTAAAATGAAATGCAAAAATGTCGGGCCGATGAAGTGGTAAACCGATAAAGGAGACTATTAGAAGGATAGATGATCAAATGCGTGTGGTATAATATTCAGACACAGGCTTAGAGATAGGCCACTGCATATGGAGCAGTCACGAAATTGGTAGGTGTATGATGTTTGGCATACCTTTGATGTACCTTTTAGTTGTTTTAGCTTTCGATTGTTTAGTAGGGCCACGAGAGTCAAGCGCAAGAGTTCAGTGAAGCATCGAACCACGGAGAAATGAGAACAGAAGCGAATTGGATAGAGGTTGAGACTAAGCAGTACACTGGAGCGTTGTTTGCGGAGTTCAATCGCTTAATGACAAAGGGGTCAGCTGTCGAGTACCGCTACATGAGAGGGATTCACTCACAACTGCAGCTTTCTGTACTTGAACAGCACAAACAAGTAGGAGACCGGTGGTGCAATGGTTGGAACGAATAACACCGGGACTCAACTATGCAGCGCTTTTCAAGCGTTTAGTTCCGAACTAACGTGGTCTACATTTGATGAGTTCCAGCAAACAAGGAAGGCAACTAATTCATAAACTACTGGGAAACCAATTAAGAGGCCACAACAACATTTAGGCCCGAGAGTAACATACGATCCTACAACTGGTCGTCCGAGACGAATTGATTTATTGTTCTGTATCACACAATTTAGTGTTGGTTAGAGGATAGTTGTATTGACCCTCATAGTTTAAGGCGTATACATAATGGATGTGTAAAAGGAAGACGGCAGATAGATCCCTTCCTTCTACGAGGTAGAAGTGCGTGATGACAAGTGAAACGACAAATAGACCGAACTGATGAAAAAACGTCCGGTGTATTATCTCTAGAGAGAGATGGTTAGGCAAGAACTTAAATGATAGACGGAGTCTTGTGGATAAACGCCCCGTATATAAACATATAACAGCGGTAAGCGAGTAGTGTTGACTGACCATCGGTGGGTTCAAAAATACGCAGTTGGATAGAAGCTTCAATGTATTCTTCGTATAGATTGAAGTCTGCACATATCCACTCGGCGTAACATCCTGAAGAGAAACGAAGTGATGGGTGTTGACAACGATACGAATGGGTTAGGAAAAAGGGGGTAAAGGAACACAACCACTCACGGGGATGGCGTGACAATCGAGCAAGGATCCCAGAGTATAAACGCAACCTAACGGATGGTTCCATTGCTAGAAAAGGTAAGAGGGTAGAGAAATGGGAATTCATCTATGAGTTAAAAACGAAACCTTTAAGTACAAAAAACAGGGTTAAACTCCGCTGATCATAAAAGTAGAGAACACATCACAATCCACGTAAAGCACAGAATAAGGCGCAATTAAAAGTGATTCCATCAAGCCTGGTTGCCAACGAAACGAATAAGCGTGAAAAGCAAACATACCCATATAATTTGCTAACAAATTGTGGTCGCGCTTACTAGTGTTCGTGCATTCTTCGAGGTTACAATGACCAGATCAGCTCTGATGAACGACATCGAAGCACCAGTTTAGATAATCAACCAGGAAGTTATTTTTTGATATTTCTGAATGATAAGGTAGCTTCCAGAGACTGCTCTCCATCTAGTGTCATCTCAGAAACAAGGGCTATGCTAGAAAATATAAAATCAATTTGATGCAAAGCAACGAGAGTGGACAGGCGGTGGCAGCAGGACCCAGTTAAAAGGCCTTATGCTCGGCAATAAAACATGAGCAGAACGAAGCCGGTTGCTGGAGAGGCATTCCACGAAGCAATTATGCAAATGAACGTTACACTGAGTTCGTTTATGCACCAAATCTTAAAGCGTATCGAGCCATCGGCATTGCTTCCCATTGGGTCCAAAATAAACAAACGTCTGGATAGTATGGTGATTAAGTGGGAAGTTCATGCGATGCAACCAAGTGGAAGAATGCCTTCACACAGGCTCTTCAGCCCGATTATAAAAAACGTATATGAAGCGGTGGAATGAATGCTTGCATGACATGCGTAAAAAGTGATCGAGTCCTCTCAATTGGTGTGGAAAACAAACTCGTTGAGGGAAACGCGCTAGCAAAGACACAACGTTCAACATCACCAATGCACATTCGACGTTACTTTCAAAAACAAGCCATCCCCCAAACGCCCAATAATGAATGCCCAAAGCCGGTGCATGTCATTCACGCCGATTGGACAGAACTTGCTCCCATACAGTGCCGATGGAGTTGAGAAGTTGCGATTTAGGTAGTAAAACAAGAGGGAGACTTCCCAACGGCGCCACAAATGTCCCAAATTGACAAACGCCTACTGGGCTCTAGTGATTGGATGTAGAACCTCCTTTCCAATAGTGGCAAAAGCAAAAAAGCAGTTCTGAAGACAAACAAACCTATCTAATCGTTAAAGCTGCCTACCTCCAAGGATGGTCACGGGAACAAGTGAGGGCCAACACTGGGGCAAGATTTTACCCTTCGATGAGCAAAGCACACACCGTACAAGGTATTAATCATCAAGAGGATCGGAACCAGTTGCATACAACGTATAATGAAAACGTTCCAGTCTCAACCATTTCTGCACGTTGCGATGTCGAGGCACATAAAGAAAGAGAACTTGCGGCGGGCGAAACAAAACAATTTGAGGGGGCCAAGGAAAATAACATTGCATACAATGGATTACAATATTGCCATAAAGTGCAACCAAGCTATGCTGAAAAGGCAATATGAGCCAGTATAAACCTCACGACTTACGAACCAATCTAAAACGATCTGTCACGACAGAGCGTGTGTTCCGGTCCATCGAGGTCGGCAACGTGCACAGATGGTCCAGTAACACATCGAGGGACAGAAACAATGAAGTCTCCAAATGAGGGAGCATACATGAAGGAAATGTAGATTCGGGGACCTTGAGACCAGAAGAATATCGTGTACTGATTGAAAAAAACAATAGGAAAGGGAAGATATTGCTCAAGTTAAGTGCGAGTGAATATATATGCACAACCCCAAACGGAAGATTGAGATGCGACTGAAGATATGTGGTCATCTATCGTGCAAAAGACTGGAAGAAATGACATTAGCGTCAGAAAGTGAGTAATTTCTGTGGCTAATCGCAAAACACAGTGTCTAGGACATCCAATAAGGTGTGTTGCAGGGAGATGGCCGCCACTAGGGAGAAAATAAAGATAACAACGAAAATACACGTACGACGTGAATAATAAGGGAGTGGCAAGGCAGTTTGAAGTAGATTGTCAGAAATAAAAAGGAATTCATCGACTGGAACGGAATGACAGGTCTAAAAATACACAATGGAGGTATACAATGCGAATAATTTTAACCAAAGTTGGTGCCATCGCTTCACCGAGAAAAGATGGTCGAACATTATTAGGTTAGGTCATTGGGCAATTGAGGCTCATGATAAGCAAAAATGAAAAATGGAGTGAATACTATTAACAAAAGTAAACATGGAACCAAAAGGGGAACATTTGCAAACGCATGCGATAAAAAAGAAGAATAAAGACAAATAGTTGCGTGAAAAGTTGATAGCGCAAAGCAACGGATTAAACGGAAGGGAACATGAAGCCACACAACTAATTATAACAATTGGGGGGCCGGCCCTCTGATCGATATTCAGAAGGATGACGCGTGCCCGCCCAATCAAGCCTCACACATTCGTCACATCTTGCAACCGGATCCGGTGTTGCTAAAAAAACAGACAGGATAGGTAATCGAAGTGAGTTCGAAGAAGATGGACGACTCGATTATAAAAGATAAGACATTGAAACATCAAAGGGTTTCTTGTCAAACACCAACTGATGCGAACATTTAGTGGTATAAACAGGACCCGATAACTGTATACGCATCGGCGGTAAAAGACAACTAGTCTCCCCTAGAAATAGTGTGTCATGTCTTCCCCATGTAGCGATGTCCATAAAACTTTAGTGTTGTAAACACCACTTTCGACCGAGAAGCTTTTAATGAGCTATTTCCATGGATGATGGTAGTTATGTGGCCACATGGGGATCAACAATACGCAAAGTGGACTCGTCGGAAAATGGATCGCTTGAGCGGATGTAACTGTTGAATTGTGCAAACCACCGCACCGCTTCCAGCGAATGGGTGGTGATGACTAGAGGACCCAGTTCACCAGCAGTGCCTTTAACCTTCAAGATAGGAAGCATGAGTGCGGCACCTTGCGACAATCCAATAAGGGTCAGTCGTACAGAAGTAAGGTTACAGCCGTGAAGAACTATGTCATCTGTGTAATCCAATTATTTCGGTCAAGCGCATGAAGAAATTTCTACTCCAGAGAAAGTGGAAAATACAGTTAGAACTGATGGTAAAGTGAACAGAAGAAAATAGAGCAATCCCGACGCATACCACTCTTCGCAGTGGATTCGGGAAAGAATCTAGTGGTCACAGTACAGAAATTTTGCGGTGTCCGGAACTTATACTGATGTACTTAAGGATAGACACCCAATAAATAACCGTGATAAACTGGATCAAAGGCAGTGCCCAATTCTTAGAAGACCACCATGGGAGATTATCTGTACGTGCAAATGCCACAGTATTAGAACGGACCGTGGCCAGCTCACTATCTGGTTGGGTGGAAGCCGACTGACTTACGCAAATTATACTTCCCGAGGATGTGTGAAAAAATTTATTGGTAGAGTAATTTGTCGGTACGCTAAAGCGAGCGAGGAACGGAGAAGCAGGTGCAGTGAATCGTCCATTTCAATGTTCATCGTGGGTCATTTGACCAAATGAAAGATCTGGATGATGGTAGAAAAACAAGTTGGAGCACAACCAAATGTGCCGTTTGGTTCGAATAGAACCCTAGTTTCAAATGCTATGGACATAGCATCTAGTGAGAGGAAGTCGACCTCAGACGCTTGCCACTGTCATCTGCACTGGTAGGAACCCGCGTAGCAATGGAAGATAGGTTATATAATAGTTAGATCGCAAACTATGTAGCACAACCACCGTTACCGTGGTTCAGTGGCTTAAGCTGATGGCTAGTTGGCGTTAGCCACTAGCGGTCATGGGTTCGATGATCGGTAGGGAACCGAAGGATGCGCACTACTGACGCCCCAATGGGGCGAAACGCGTGTCTGGTGCTTTTCCGGACGGGGATTGTGCTACGAAGCTTGTGCACTGTTGGGACGAATATCGTAGTTTTCAGACGGATCTATTTTCAGATATAAGGCGCATAAAGCGAAACAAAATAGTCGGTTAGGTCAGACTTAATTCAACTCATTAACAATAACTGTCCATATTGTTCACATATAAAACAGAAAAATACACTCACTTTTTCAACTGTTCTACAAATCTGTCAAATTCTTCTTCAGTGTCGGAGTTTAACAGTTGGACGATAGCGGCGTCAAGTAAGCCCGGATCCCTATCATCATCTGAGTCAGTCTCGTTGCCGTTGTTTGGCTGTTCTTTGATGATTCCGGCCGTCATGAAAGATCGGACGACAGTTGAGACCTATACCTTGGCCAAGACATCGAGGATCCAATGGCAGAGAGTGGCGTAATTAGTCCGGCGTTGCCTCCCTGTCTTGTTATTCGTGTGCTCACCTGTCATCTAATGCTCCCACGAGGCACGCAATTCAACTTTGAACGCCCAGTTGACACCAATATATCTAGCGGTTGGATCTTTGGTTAATCCTCCCGGAATGATGGCAAGCTCTGGATTAGTTATCTTGACTTGGCGTTTGACAGTTTCGGTGAGATGGGCGTACATGGAATCATACATCAATAAGAATGGAGATGTGCGGAAAAAGCCATCCGGTCTCCTGACGTAACTTCCCTCAGCCACTCGTTCAAATCCTACTCATCCATCCAGCCTTTTTGGTTGACCTGGACGATGATTTCAACAGGAAACCTTTCTTTTGGCAGTGTTCCTCTTAAATATGACCATGGGTGGCAGTTTCTGGCCATTATCCAGGCAATCGAGAACTACAATGAAGGATAATTTTCCTCCCTGTGGTGCGTATAGATACAGTAGGCGTCCCTGTTTTTCCACAGTACGGTCCTCGAGGATGTCAAAGCTGAGAGGAACCTCGTCCATGTTTGTGTTGTAGTCTGGCTGGATGTTCTTTTCGATGATCTTGTTCCTGCAGTAAGTGCTGAAGATGGCCAATTTTTCTTTGCAACCCATTGGCAGTTGCTGCGAGGTGGTAGTTTTTGTGCGGATGGAACGATGACGTCTTTCCATAAAACGGAAGCACCAAGAAGGACCTCCTTGAAAATCGTTCATCATCATATCACGTGCCATCGGTATTGCCCTGAATCGAATGGAGACTGTAGAGACGCTTCTACCTGCAGTTCCATGTTCAGTAATCTACTGCTCAATTTTGTCCTCTAACTGTGGCCATCTTGCTTTGTTCTTTTGCAAACTGTTCTTGGTACAGGTCATCTTGCTTCTTCCACTTCCGTACCATTGATTCATTAATGTTGAATTGTTTCGCAGCTGCTCTTTCCTGTGTTGTACTGCGTGGCTGATGGCCTTGAGTTTGAAATCCGCTTCGTAAGCATGTAACTTGACGGGTGTCATTTTGGGGTCCTTAATTACCGGTATGTTGAAGCACGGTACGTAGCAGAAAAAGTGGTAGGTGTAAGCGAACAAGCTTCGTCTTGATCGCCAGTATGCGACTGGCGCTGAAAAATGGTGTCACGCTTGACCTCATATGTTGACCAGATTGTAGGTTGTCACCGCAACTCCCTGCGTAGTACATGCAAGATGACTTACGTTCCAGATTTCTATCCGAAAACTTCAGCTTGGAGGATGATGTGCAATGGTCTCCAATATCAAAATGGCATCAAAGATGTGTATCGTACACTTGCTTTGAACGTTCTAGCCACCAGCAACAGTGTCTGTATTTCTAGCTATTCGGATGGCGGATCGTAGTTGCTGGTAGAATTTGTCTCCTGATCAATATTCACTGGAGGGCGTGCGATGAAACGACAAAAATACACTGTGAGTTCTAACACTGTGAATCAACTCCGACGGAGCTTCGAAATCAAACGGCATACATGCGATGATCAACCGAGAATCATCCGAGAGGATTACGTTTAACTGTCTTGCTGAGTGCAATACCAACATAATAAATACCGCGATAAATCGATACAGTATCACGACAGGAGTGAGGAATATGGTCATCATCATTGGGTTCCAAGTCAAACAGTCAGCATTTCGCGTGAGAGTGGTTTTGTAGAAGCATCCCACAATCTCCTTTGCTTCAGTTGTTCACCTGGCAATGTAGTGAGCCATGAGGTTCAGCTCAGCAGAGTTGATTCTGGCAACACGCAATATTCATGATGCATGGAACAATGCGGACATAATCTCGCGACCATGATCGATAAAAGAAGAGCTCTTGGGGAGTCAGCATCCCACCGAAAGTAATTTTCTACACTGAGGTGGGTGGCAACAAACCAGGGGGTAGTCGTTATTCTTCCACCGTAAGAAGCAAACGAGCTGAGTTCATAACGCATAAGAGTCAACCCTTATTAGTAGGTTCTTGAGATGGGTTGAACATGGATATCTCCTCAATCCACTTAAAACGAGGATACTGGTATGAATAAATCTAAAGGGCACCTAGCATACCTCGATGCTCCACGGAAGTTCGTGAAAAAAAGCGAAAAAACTTGAGGACAATAGGAAGGATCATAAAAATGGTAAAAGTAGAAATAGAGTGAAAGCAATGTTCTTCAGCACCAAGATTTTTTAAATAGTGGATTGATGGCTACCATATGACCATGGCAAATGAAGAGCAATCGCTGGATGGTAGAATAAAGAACGAGAAGAAAGCAAAGGCGACGAGCAGCAAGCAGTAGCAAATAGTAATTTCGAACCTAGAAAATATTTCTTATGGATTGTATTGAGATGGCGACAGGAACAGGACATTTTCCGCGGGTATTCATCGATACAT